TCCTTGGGTCAGGAAGGTCTCCTGGATGAGGGCATGGCAACTCACTCCAGTGTTTTTGCCTGGAAAATCCCACTGACAGAGGAGCCTGTCGGCCTACGGTTCATAGGGTCGCAAAGAGTCAGACAAAACGGAAGCGAATTAGCACTCAGCATGCAATGCAGGAGGCTTGGATTCGATCCCTCCATTGGGAAGATCATTGGAGTTAGAAAGTGATAACCGACTCCAGTTATGGTTGCTGGGAATATCCCGTGGACAGAGGAACCTGGTGGGCTACAGTCCATGGGATCGCAGAGTGGGACATGGCTTAGCAATTGAACACGCACACGATAGAGGAGAGATGAGTGAATGGGTGGCAGGCAGCATGGGTCAGAGAGTGCAGAGAGGCAGCCTCAGCAGCAGGAGGGCCCCCAGCGAGGAAGAGGTGGGGGAGGCCAGGGTGGGGGTCGCAGGGAGGCGCTGGGTCAGGAGGCAGACCTTAAGGAGTGTGACCTGGCAGGTCGTTGCTCCTCTGCAACCAAGTGGGTCCGTTCCTCCTCTCGGAAGAGGGACGATGGTAGGGCTGGGGAGGTGGGATGGGGAACTTTTGGCAGGTCGTTGCTCCTCTGAAACCAAGTGGGTCCGTTCCTCCTCTGGGAAGAGGGACGATGGTAGGGCTGGGGAGGTGGGATGGGGAACTTTTGGGGAGTGGCAATGTTTAAAATAATCACTGTAGGGCCTAGGGAGGAATACGTTTCCTGGAATATAATTCCATAAATGGGTCTACTGAGTTAAATATGAGATTTTTATTTTATTTTTTTTATAAACATTGCCAATTTGCCTTTGAAAAGCGTTTGCTGTTTGCTCAGTGCTAGAATGAGACAGGATTCCCTGAGCCGGCCCTGCCGGTCCCTCTCCAGTCTCCCCCGGCTGCTCTTCCTCACTGATGCTCCCCAGGCGCGCTGGCTTCTGCCTCCCTCCCTGCAGCCCCCCTCCATCCCTGGCTCCTGTCACAGGGCTGTGTCCTCACTCCTTTTGTACTGGAAGCCCCAAGTCGTCATTCTTGTGCTGAAAGTCTCCAAGTCATCTCCTCGGAGAACATTTCCTGAAGTGTCCCATGGAAAACACCCCCTATCCGTGGACCAGCCACTCTCTAATCCCTTCTCATGTTTGTCTCCACAGTACTTATCACTGTACCAACAGTAATATTTATTATTTATTTCTTCTCACCATTTATTTCTCTACTTGCATACAGTTTTGAGGAAGATGGGTTCTGTTTGCAGCTCAGGAATAGTCCTAAAATCTTGAAAAGCTGGAGATCATCCACTACTGAGAATTGAAACTTGAACTAAAATTATAGGATCAAAAAGATCATGGAGTCAACAGAAGGAAAAATAAGCTAATTGAGCAGAACAGAGAGTGAGAAAAATACCCATTACACGTGGGCACTTGGCTTTTGACAGAGGTAGCGCTGCAGATCAGTGAGTGTGTTTGGTCAATGGATAATGCACATGGAAAAGGTGTGTCTATATATATATATACACACACACGTGTGTGTGTGTGTGTATTGCACCCCTCTTTGATTACTGGTAGAAGAAAACTGGAAAACTATTATAAATATAACTGTGTGGTTCACAATGATGTGTTTTTTAGGAATCAAATGAAACCATAAATGAACCATGAATGAAAAGATTGATAAATTAATTGCATTAAGATTAGGAACTTCAGTTCATAAAAATCTTAAAACTTCAGTTTGACATCAGGAAACCATAGACTGGGGGTAAGTATTTCCAACATATGAAACTTAGAGTGTTTGAGTGTATAATGTATAAAGAATTTCTGAAAGTCAGCAGGAGAAAGAAAGACAGAAAAATACAAATATAGGCAAGAGACATGAATAGGCACCTCAAAAAGCTGAGCCTATAAAAAAATGTTCCATCTCACTGTTCACTAGGAAGTGAAATTAAAACCATGTTGTGATAATGCTATACACCAAAAGGATGGCTAAAATTAAGGATCCCAAGATTCTACAAAGATATTGTTGAACAGTTTTAACCCTTATCACTGTTGGGAGTTGAGTACAATCACTTTGAAAAACTGTCAGTATCGACAAAAAGTGAACATGTGTATCCCATATGCCTCAATTCCAGTCCTAGATATATAACCAGAAGAAGTGCTTACACATGTGTAGCAAAGACACGCACAAGAATGCTGACAGCATCGCTGTTCACAGCGGCCCCAAACTGGAAACAATCTGAGTGTCCATTAACAGGTGAATGGAGGAGTACCCGATAGTACGTTCATATACTGCAATAGTATATTAACATATGGTGGCTAACAAAATACCGCCATACAAAAATGGCGGATCTCGCAGTACTAAGATGCAGGAAAGAATCCAGACATATAGACTGTGTGTTTCCATGCAAGAAGTTCAAAGGCAGGCGGAACATACATGGTAGCGTTCAGGAAGCTCCCTTATTGGGAGATCCTGATATAACAGGCTTCTGGATGGCTGGTAATAATTTTATTCACTACGGGTGATGTGTTGGGCTTCCCAGGTGGCCTTAGGGGTAAAGAACCCATCTGCTAATGCAGGAGATGTAAAAGACGCAGGTTTGATCCCTGGGTTGGGAAGATCCCCTGGGTGAGGGCACAGCAACCCACTCCAAGTATTCTTGTGTGGGGAATCCCAAGGACAGAGGAGCCTGACAGGCTATTAGTCCATGGGGTCCAAAAGAGTCGGACATGACTGAAGTGACTTAGCACGCAGGCAGTGATGTGTTCATTTTGCGAAAATTTATGACTAAATACTTACAGTTGATGCATTTCTCTGTAATTAAGTTATACTTAAATTTAAAAGTATTTTTGAAAAAACCAAACAGGTAGAAATCATTGTGCAGGTCCTATCAGGGGTGAGAAAATGTGAGGAGGACCCATGACCCTCAAGAGACTCCAGTGCAGTGAGAGAGATGGGTAGATGCCCAATTAATAGCATTCAGGTAGAAGGCTTTAAAGTGAAAGAATAAAAGAAAATATGTAATAAAATCAAAGAGAAGGAAATTAGTACAAAAAAAAGTTTATGTACACACACACACACACACACACACACACACACACACACACACACTCTGGAATATTGTTCAGCCATGAGAAAGGCGATCCTGCCATTTGTGACAACATTGATGGGCTTTGAGGATGTTATACTAAGATAAGTCAGACAAAGGCAAACAGAGTAATCAATTTTATATGGAATCTAAAAGAACAAAACTCATAAAAACAGCGAGTAAAATGGTGTTTACACGGGCTTGAAGACGTGAGGATGGGAGGGATGTTGTTTAAGGGTACAAACTTGCAATGAGTAGTAAATAACTCCTAGAGATCCAGGGCACAGCATGGCGAATAGAACCAATGTCATACCATAGTAGTCAAATTTAATTATTTCAGCCATAAAAAAGAAATGATAATCATGTAGCATGATAGAGGTGCTAATTACTGCTGTAGTGACCACCCTGTGTGCAGACCCCCAGGAACTGAGCGTCAGGCAGTGCGGGTTTTAACCCGGTTCTGTTTCTTATGAGCTCTGTAGCTGCTTGTACGTCATCTGCTCTGTTTCCATCTTTGGATCATGGTGATAGAAGAGTGTGCCTCGCGGGGAAGCTTCATGGAGTCACTGTGAGGGTTAGTGAAAGACTGGAAGCAGTCTTAGTTGGCAGATGGCCAGTGACACTTAAAGTTTGCCTGATGTTATAATCCTATTCAGTTTATCACACCTTACTGATATTTTCAAAGGACCAGTCCCTGCGCCTTGGGTAGGTGTGCCAGTTTCAATCCTGGGACAACTTTTCCAGATACAGCTTGGGAGCAGCCAGAGAAAGTTGACTGGGTTTTGTTGACCGGAACACATGTTAGATGTTTGTAAGCAAATTGTACCTGGGGAGCTACCCCAACACTGAAGCAGCGTGTGGACAGTCCATGTCTTTAAAATTTCTCTAATACAGGAACCTCCTGTAAATCAGGAACCAGAATCAGCAAGATGGAGTGGTTAGATTCAACATTTTCTTTTTTAAAATTCAGTTCATATGATGGTAACTGATAGAAAAAAATATGTTCATTTTGTTCCTGCAGCAGGTCTGCTTTCACCTAGGAAATTCCATTCTAAAGTGATGTTTTCAGTTTTATGAACATAACTAATTATCCATGAAAAAGAGAAATATGTATTCTAGAATCTCATGAAATCAAGAGACTTGTAGAAACATTGGATTTCTATCATCACACTCTTCCCCAAGGGGAAATTCTTGCAAATAATATATTTATGGTACTTTCAGAAAGTATAAGTGTATTTCTCTGAGCAATATGAATTTCTGTAAAAAGCAGTTTATATGGAAGATAAAGCATTTAGAGAAAGTTATGTTGTATTACCAAGGAGAAAGTGTTTACCTGGTAAGGATTGCTTGTAAACCTATTTTATATATTTATATATATATATTTTGGGGGTATTTGTATATATTTTATATAAATAAACTGATATACATATATAATATATCATATATGATACATATATTTATATCCTAGATCTATGTCATAATATACATAATATATATAATACAGACCTATATTACAGATCTATAATATAGATATTATTATAGATATATATTATATTATAGTACATAATATAGATCTATAATGCCCTATATCATAGATCTCTCTATATATAGATCTGTGTAGGTAGATGCATATTGTAGATCTATCTACATCACAGATGTATTATATATATATAACTTAGATCTATATTATAGATCTATCTGTATCTATATAGATCTATATCATAGATACATGTATCATATATACATATAATTACATATATATACATATAGTACATTTAGATCACGTATATCTATGATACATATAGTGTATATATCTATATAGATATATATGTACGGTAGGGCAAACACTGAGCTCTCCAGGTGTAAGCAGCTCTAGGTGAGACTGTTTGGTGTCCCTGAGAGGGTGCAGAAAGCCTGGGGTCACAGTCCCGAGGACACAGCGGCATTTCTGGGGGGCTGTAGCAGCAGCAGCAGCTGAACCCACAGAAGCGTGTCTCCGGCCTCACCCTCAGAGGTCATTTTGGTTTCGGGACTTTCAGCCCGGATGATATGCGCCGCCGGGCCCTGGAGCCTCTGCACTGACCCGCCAGATAAAGGACTGCTTCCGTGAAGGGCTCTGAAGGGCTTAGCCCGGCTTTCCCAAAGGGGCTGGTGCAGAGGGGCCCTGGCGCTCCCCTTGTTCACACGGGGCCGCCCGCAGCTCGGGGACTGCTGCTGGCTGTGGCAGGTAGCTTGGGCGAGGAGAGAGAAGGACTGGCTGCGGGAAGCCTTGGTTGGGTCAGCCGTGGGTACCAGGAAATATGGACAGCGGTGACCTGGGCTGGGGGGAAGAGATGCCCCTCGTCCAGAGGGCTGGCTAGGACCCGCCCTGCTCCAGGTGCAGACTTGCAGGACTGCAGTGTCCCCACAGGAAGGACTGTTTCTCTTCTGCGCTGTCTGCGGCCAACTGTAGGTCCCGTTCTTATGAAAAAAAACAGACAAAGGCCTGCATGGAGATAAACACTGCAGTGTTGAACAGCAAGAGACCCGAGTTGAGAACCCGAGTTCAGACAGCACAAAGGTTACCGAAAGCTCTTGCTCATGGAATCCCTGTTTTGGAGGGAGTTGTCACGGTTTTCCAAAGAGGTCTGCCGCAAAAGCCTCCACGTGTTTAGTGTTGTTTTCCGGGCAGCTAAGATTCAGTGTTAAGTGAAACGCAACAGGTGCGGCCAAGTTCCTGGGTAACAAAGCTTGAACTGCCCTAGGAAGTCTGCTGAATGATGCGGGCTTGAGGGTATAAATCGGACTTTAATTAACTTATAAGGCCTTATTGTCAGCCTTTGTGCAGCCCAAAGGCCCCCTGATTTTCCCCTTGGATTTTCTGCAGTGAAAGATTGGCCCCACTCAAATACTTTCCATGGGAGTATAATTACGTCTCGCAAACGGTTTTCAAAAATCATCAGGTCCAAAGATTCCATTCGTCTTGCAAAATTCACATGGAATAAAGTCATATTTGTCAATGCCATCACTCCCTCCATTTCCTCAGTTACTTTCAAACGCTGGGGTCACCACTGCACACCCTCACCCCCCGCCCAGGGCACTTTGCTAAAATAACAGCAGAAAGTCTTCCTGCAGAAGTTGTTGGGACACAGTTCGATAAGCCCAAGGAAACAACAGCAACCGCAGCAGCAAGTCCTCCGTGAGCGTGGAAGAAGGAGTTGTCTAGTTCAGTTAACTCAGTCAGCCGCCCCGTTGCTATTAAGCCTACTCTTGATTTTTTTTTAAAGCAGTGGATTTTATGACATGTTTATATGCTTTCGCTTATATAACAAAAAGTAGTTACTGCAATTAAGACAGTTCTTTTGTTACGTCACTGAAAAAATGTAAAGTTAAAATAGAATCGAAAGCAGGAGCGAGGTGGGACCTTGTAACTGGGGACAGCATTGGGATCACTTCCTGCAGAGGAAGATGGGATGGAAATGCAGCCCCTCACCCCCTTCAGTCCTGAGAAGTCACGTGAAGCGGAGACAGCCTTGGGCTCCCTGCCTTAGGACGGAGTCATCTTGACAAAAAGCCTGAGGAACCTGCCTGAGTTTGAGGTATCACGCTTCTGAAACTAAGCGAATGACACTGGGCGATGTCCTTGGCCTTCCTGAATCCGCTTCCCTTCCCTAAGGGAAGGTAGCGCTGCCCAGGGGACGGGACAGCAGGGAGCCCGTGTGTGACATGCTGCGGCCAGCTCTGACCACGCGCTGCCCTTGTCGGGCACTATCTTGTGCGCCTTATAGCACTTCACTACTCAGTAATCCTCAAAGAGCTCTGTGAGATAGGTTAGTCTTCCAACCCTGTGTTACAGATGAGGAAACTGGGATACAAGGAGGTGAAATAAAATGAAATGACCCAGCAATTCTGTGGCAGAGCCGGGATTCAAACCTAGGTCCCCGCTCCAGAGCCCTCAGCCTACTTGTAAACCGTGGTGGGCGGTGTTGCTCACAGAATCAGACTCACGTGCTTACTCTGGTTTATCTCCAGACTGCAGTCCCTGTTTGCCTCTCTCAGTGCAATGCACCCACCCATACACACACACACACCCACCCACCCGCCCACCCAACCACACACACACACGTCCTTGCTGATTAAAAAAAAAAAAAGTGTATTTGCTCTAAGCAAGTTGAATTAGAGAAACATATTCTGGCAACTTGCCTTCCTTTTATATTGCAGTTTTACCAAATAAAAGGAATCCAGCTCAACTGCTTGCTTTCCCACTTACTGCCGATGGCAGGTCCCGGCCAGCTCGGCGCGTTCCGAATAGCCGTGTTTCCGTGCAGGGTGCTTGGAGAGCACGCAGAAGCATCTCAGAGGTTTTCAGTTGGAACGATGGTGACGGGGTGACCACACCTTCTCCCCGTATTGCAAGTGAGCTTTTGCCCCCGTCCTCGCGGGACAAACACGGAGGATGAAGGAGCTCCCTGGGCCTTCTGCTCCACTGAACCGGGCCTGGCCTTGCTGCTGATCTGGTTTCCTGTAGGCCTTTTCCAGCACAGTACAACCTCCAGGACCTCGCAGGACTGACCCATCTCTGCGAATGGTCTTCAACCAAGCGAGATTTCCAGCTGCGCCCTCCAACCACAGATGCTTGGCAGTGTCCGGGGTCACTTTGGGAGGTCACACCTGTGCGTGTGCTGCTCCACATCCTGCAGTGGACAAGACAGCCCCCAACCCTGCCAGAATAAAGATGGTCCAGCTCTAAATGTCATTAGTTCCACAGTTCAGAAATCTTGATCTAGAATACCTATAATCCCTTCTCTGAAAGTCACTTCTAGGGAGAGGACACTGAACTAGAATGGGTATCTCTATAAGCATCTCCCGCGATACATACCCGAAAAGTGCAAATAAAAACTACAGGGCAATACCACTGTGAGCCTAGCAAAAAGGATACAATGAAAGGGAAATGCTAGACTTCGTAAGCTCCATAGCCAACTGAACCTTCATAAAACCACTTTGAAAAATGGACGGTATCTAACAAAGGCAAATGTGTGCAAACTCGGTAACCCAGCCATTCCACTTCAAGGTTTGCAGCCCTCAAAGACATGTCTATATGTTCACTTAAAGGACGCACTAAGATGTTGTATTTGGGCCAAAAAAACTAAAAAATGCCCTTCAACTGCAGAGTGGGTAAATACATTGTTCTATATTCACACAGTTGCATGCTATAGAAAAACAAAGGGAATAAAGACCTTCAACTCCATAGGATGATATGAGTGACCCTCACAGAAATACTGCTGAATGAAAGACGGCAGACACACACAACAGCATATTATATGATTCTGTTTAGATAGGAGGGCTTCCCTAGTGGTTCAGTGGTGAAGAATCTGCCTGCAGTATAGCAGATGCAGGAGATGTGGGTTTGATCCCTGGGTCAGAAAGATCCCCTGGAGGAGGAAATGGCAACCCACTCCAGTATTCTTGCCTGGGAAATTCCATAGATGGAAGAGCCTGGTGGGCTACAGTCCATGGGGTTGGAAAGAGTTGGACGCGACCTAGTATTGGCATACACGCACGTTTAAATCGGGAACAGGCCAAACTGGTCTATGCTATTTTAAGTCAGGACAGCGGTCATCCTTGGTTGAGAGGCTGTGACTGGAAAGAAGCATGAGGCGGACCCAGGGCTGGTCATCTCTGTGTCTTGGTCTGAGTGCTGCCTGCACAAGTGTGTTCAAGTTTATGAGAAGTCACATCACTTTGCATTTTGATAATGCGCTTTTCTAAATGTATATTATTCAATAAAGTTTCTCAAAAGTGCAGCTGCTGCTCTGGAGAGTCGGACAGGCATTGGATAGTTCTGTTACTTCTTCCCCTTGCATGTTAACGTAGACTGGTCCAATGGCATCTTGAAATGCCCAGAGCACTGTGGGAAGTGAAGGAGGGTGAACTGCTTGAATCCTTGTTACTATTACAGTATACTATTATACTTATTAACATAAAGTTGTACTGAGAATAACTCTAGCACACTGATTTAGTGTGAAATCATGGGATCCCAAGACAAACTTTGGAGAGAGCCCTGTCTGCAGCTCTGGCCTGAAAAGTCGGCATCTTTTGGTTCTTTCTGCGGGATCCCCTTCCCAGACCCTCGCTCTGGGGGCAGAGGTGGGGCGCGGGGCGCCTTTGAGAACGGGCGGCGCTGGGGGAGGGGGGCCCCTCGCCTGGGAGCTCGGAGAGCACATAGTATATGGTTTGTAACATCGTGTTAGTACTGGCGGCTGGAGACAGCTTGTCATTTCAGGCCCAGAGAAAGGTCCCGCTGTTGAAGGCTGGTGTCGGCAAATAACATATTTTAAAGGTTGTACAGCATATGGAAATTTCTATTACTGCAAACATTTGGTTTGGTTCTGTGCCTGCTGAACATATTGCACGTTTCTAAATTAACTGTCTTCTCCATGGAGCGAGGGGGTGATTCACGGCCGTCTTCCCGGTGGGCGGAGGGCTGGAGGCCACGGCCGCACCCTCGCCTTCCGCAACCGCGGCCTGGATCGAGTCCCCGCCAGCGTCTCGGGCAGAGCCAGAGCGAGCCGCCGAGGAGGGGCGGGCGCTCCAGCCGGTTGGTCCCCTGTCTACTGTACTCGTCACACGCTGACCCGGCCCGAACCAGGGGGAGAGCAGGAAATCGCAGCCCCCAGCTTCCCCACTGCTAGTTCTCGTTTCCTCCATTTGTGAGACTGAATCTTCAGTGGAGAGACCCGGGGATGGATCATTCACGTTACTTTTGTGTTGGTGTCTTTATATAAAGTATGTGTGTGTGTGCTCAATCGTGCCGACTCTTTGTGACCCCGTGGACTGTAGTCCACCAGGCTCCCCTGTCCATGGAATTCTCCAGGTGAGGATACTGGAGTGGGTTGCCATTTCCTTCTCCAGGGGATCTTCCTGACCCAGGGATGGAACCCACATCTCTTGCATGTCCTGCACTGGCAAGCATGTTCTTTCCCACTTGGCCACCTGGAAATCCCCTTGTATAAAGTATAGCCTTCTTATAATAAACATGTATTGTTAATGTGAATCCACTTTTTGGAGACATTGTTTGGTTTTTGATGCTAAAAAGAGTAATGTATATTTAGAAAATTTGAGAGTAAAAAGTGCATGCCAGGGTATAAAATATTTCCCATAAATGATGAACACGTGGACATGAGTTCTTTATAGTATTCTGTCTAATGTTGAGACTTGTTGGAAAATTCTCATTATAAAGATGATCCCTACGTTTATGATCCAGATGTTATCACTATTAGCATTTTTATGTGGTTTCACTGTATCTTTTCCGTATCAGTGTTAATTTGCTAAATGCTAGTACATTCAATGAACATTTGTTTCAACTACTTGCTGAAACAAAACAGCCCTTGCGTTTGCCCTGTTGGCCCTTATAAATAAGGGAATAGCCTCAACTTTTGTCAGGAATAGGCTTTAAATCCCAGAAAGTGTGAAAGTGTTAGTTACTCAATTGGGTCTGACTCTTTGTGACCCCACGGACTGTAGCCCGCCAGGCTCCTCTGTCCATGGGATTTTACAGGCAAGAATACTGGAGTGGGTTGCCCTTCTCTTCTCCAGCGTGTCTTCCTGACCCAGGGATTGAACCCAGGTCTCCTGCATTGCAGGCAGATTCTCCACCATCTGAGCCAATAAGGAAGCCCTAAATCCCAGAATGAAGATTAAAACGCTCATGCTAGTGACGCTTTCCTGTGCTGTGACTGTTCCAGGCATCTAGCCTGCTGTCTGGCATTCAGGAGTAAGTGGGGTCTCAATCAGCGGGCAGGACAGCAATGATACGGTATCACCAAGCCCCTGGACCTCACAGATGGGGGTTCCAGAGAGAATCCGCATCAGCCTGAGTCAAGCCCCAAGTCCGCCTCTCTTCCTGAGTAGCTTTTGAACCTTGAATTTGTATCAGGGCGTTAGCTGTTGATTCTCCTACCGGTCCTCCCACGGAGAGAAGGCTGACCATCTCTTGACACGCCACGTCCTCCTCAGGCTGCCCTTCTGCCTGCTCAGGCCAAGATCCTGTTCAGTCCATACCCAAACCACCGAGAAAGTTGGAAAACGAAACTCATTAGTCAGGGTTGCTGACTGTACTGCAGGAGACTACAGGCCCCAAAGTGTTTTTATTTTCTACTTAACTGGAAAGAAAACCTTGCCTTCCTTCCAAGACAAAGGAAGTGCTGGGGGTGTGTGGTTGCCCATCGGGGGGGCAGATTCTCTTGTCCTTGGAGGTCTGGAGCAGTGGCGTTGCTGATTGCTCAGGGTGACATAGCAGGGCTGGCAGAGCGTTTGCTGCTGTGCTGACGGATAGGCCTGGGATTTGAAAAATGCATCTGGTCATAAGAGTCACGCAGCTTACCCCTTCCACGGGCCCTTCAAGCCGAGGACATGTCTTTCTTCTTTAGCATCAAGGTAGATTCCACCTAAGGAATAAACGGTGCCTTGTTTATTAAAGGAGTGGTCGACAGAGGACAGAGTGAAAGGGAATCCATTTCACCTCTGGCGCCCCTGCTGCCTTCAGGGAACCCCGCTGGCCCGCCTGCCGCTGCAGCACCCCTCTGCTCCCCCGTGCCCACACTGCCCTTGCTGGGAAAACCGTGCTCTGCGGCCTTGTCCTCTGACCTTATTCTCAAACGCTAGAGGGAAGAGGTACGGGATAGTTGTCAGGTTGCCTCTCACTGCTTCTCTGATGGCCTGGGTGAGAATTCTGGCTCTGTCAACTCACTTCATGGCAGATAGACGGGGAAACAATGGAAACAGTGACAAACGTTATTTTCTTGGGCTCCAAAATCACTGCAGATGGTGACTGCAGCCATGAAATTAAAAGACACTTGCTCCTTGGAAGAAAAGCTATGACCAACCTAGACAGCATATTAAAAAGCAGAGACATTACTTTGCCAACAAGGTCTGTCTATGAAGTAGATATTATTATTAACCCTATTTTACAGATGAGAAAGCTAAGATCCAGTCACTTATTCAGCTTAGTCATTTAGTCATGTCCAATTCTTTGTGACCCCATGGACTGCAGCACACCAGCCTCCCCTTTCCATCACCAACCCCCGGAACTTGCTCAAACTCATGTCCATCAAGTTGGTGATGCCATCCAACCATCTCATCCTCTGTCATCCCCTTCTCCTCCTGCCTTCAATCTTTCCCAGCATCAGGGTCTCTTCTAATGAGTCCATTGTTCGCATCAGGTAGTCAAAGTATTGAAGCTTCAGCATCAGTCCTCCCCATGAATATTCAAGATGATTTCATTTAGGATGGACTGGTTGGAGTTCCTTGCTGTCCAAGGGACTCTCAAGAGCCTTCTCCAACACCACAGTTCAAAAGCATCAATTCTTCGGTCTCAGCTTTCTTTATGGTCCAATTCTCACATCCATACATGACTACTTCATAGCATCATTACAAGGAATAAGTTAGCTAATACCTGCATGGGTAGTCAGAAAAGCATCCAGAATGTAGAAACCCACTGGTATGGTTAGTTCTTCAGTTTTCCATTTCCTCGGGGAAGAACTCCTCTAGGGGCCTGGTGAAGTTCAGAGCTGTGGCATGGACACTGGCCAGCAGTCTCTTATTATAGTCTGTGTGATACACAATCCGAGAATCCCAACCAGAGACCCAGGCTTCTGGTCCTGTACTAGATAATACACCAGCAGTATTGACACATTTACACTACAACGTGTAAGATAGCCAGCTAGTGGGAAGCTGCCGTATAACACAGGGAGCTCACTTGGAGCTCTGTAATGACCTCGAGGGGTGGGATCGGGGATTGGGGGGAGCTCAGGAGGGGATGTATGTTTACTCATGGCTGGCTCACGTTGTCATACGGCAGAAACCAACACGGCATTGTGAAGCAATTATGCTCCGATTACATTAAACTGGCAGGGAACAGGTTAATATAATATTTTAATTTCTAACCTGTTTTCAGGCTATTCTTCAGCATTGGGCTCCTTTTTTCCCCCAAATAGCTCTAGTGCTCATATTTTTGAGACATTGAAGCAAGTTACTGAGAAAGACACTTGAGACAATCCGTGAACTTCTTGAAACGTACTGGAGAGGCAGCAATCGAGCCTATGGCTATGTGGTTAGAAGCAATCGGGTCTGATACGATGCAGAAGTGAGTGTTGCTCTATTTTTCAATCTTTGATTCACAATTTAGAGCTTGAACTTTTCCTTCTAATCCAAGTTCTAGGTGCCTAGAGAAAGTGAGAATCTATAACCAAAAAAAAGTTCAGTGTCATTTAAATGAGAAAGCTCTCAGTGTGCGGGTACACACACACACACACGCACGCACTCCCTCTCTCCCTGTTCGTGTGTGGCTGTGAATTCAGTGATTTCTTCCTTGAGAGCAAGCTCTTCCCAGTGGTCTGACTCCATGCAATGCCACCTCCGTGCTTCTCTCCTGGATAGAGCCGCAGATTCACCACCGGAATGTGGAGAAAACACGAACAGCCCCTGGCTGCCTGGTGAGACGGCTGCCTGGAGAATAATGGAAGAACAGCGCAAACTGCTTTCCCTCATTTAAAATCTGCGCCGAAAATATCATCTGCTGCCTCTTTCCCTTTCCAGGAAAGTCACAGGGAGAGGTGAAAGATTTGGTCCGCGCATCCCTATGGAAAAAATGAGCCAATGAGCAGGGTATTGATCAAAGTGCTGAGGAGGAGAGGTGCTCAAATATTTACCCAGAGCACTTCGCCGAAAGGTGCCCCGCGGGCGCTCCGAGGTGGCCTGGCAGGCTGCTGGTACCCTGGCCTCCCGGCTCTGAGGGCCATTCATCCCTGCGGGTGCCCCCACGCCCTCTCCCCGCTCCCTGCCAGCCCTCTTTAGGAAGATGTTTTCTGAACTGTGTGCGTGCACATTTTTGTGCCTCCAGCAGGAATGCTGTTTTCCTAAGATCGAGAATTAGAACGGGGGCTTGAGGAGCCGGGATTCTCCGCCCCAGGAATGCGGGTGCCCACGTCCTGGGCAGAGACTGCGGGTGACCCGCAGGACCCCCGGAGACACACGGTGCCTTGTGAGGCCCAGGGCCGCTCTTGGTCCCCATCTCCCCTCGCTTTCGTCTCGACCTTCTCTTGCCCATAAACACCTCCATGTGTCACAGCAGGTATAAGCGCGGGCACCCCACGTTTGCCCCGATGCTGGGCATGAACTTGGTCGAATCACAACGGCTTTTTAATTGCAGTTTCCTATTCTAACTCGGCAGAGTATAGTTTCATGAAAATGGAGAGATTAGTGCTGCCGTTGTAATACAAACAGGAATCGCTGTATATATTTTATGTACTGAAATAGGTCCACTTGGAAAGGGTGTGACTCAGTGCATAGAGCAAGCCGGTGAGCCTGAAGGGAAAGCTTTACTTCCAGTCTGCCCACGCCACCAGAATTGAGCCCCAAAGCTCAGCGTGTCAGCTGCTTTTCTCAGAATTAAGGATACCTTTCTTAAAGTCTTAGAAGTAAATAGATGTCATCATATGATTTTTGCTGGTAATCTATAGTAGGTGATACCAGATGGATTTATTTTAAGAACTGTGGGCAACTTACATTTTGTTTTGAGGGTTTTCTTATTCAATTTTGGCTGGAAAGAAAACAACTTTTTCTTTGTTTGAAATACCACATTTCTATGTAAAGGATGTAATATGTTCACATAATTTTTATTCTTATTTAGGTACATCCTAATTCATATACACAGAGGGTCTATCTATCTATCTCTATATCTATATACATATATATATATTTTCTAAAATGCCTGTGACACTCAGTATCACATATCATATGTATATCTATATATACATGAATTTCCTGATTGATTCTAATAGAATTGCTTTAAAAAATATATTTCTTCCTGGTTACAATTAAACACATACAGACACAAATTATATTCTTTCTGGTTACAATTTTTTCTTTTTCCTATTCAAACCAGCTGGGATTGAAGTTATTGCTTTTAAATTGTAAAATGTAGCTTTCACTTAATTCTCAGCAAATTTATATGTCCATTTGTGTTGAAGCTCTAATTTCTTTCATATCAAACCTCTTGTTCACACAGTGAAGGAAGAAGTCTTCTAGCATTAAAAAATAGTTTCTTAAACTCTTCCTTTTTACTGGCTCAAAACTTTTGTCAAAGAAAACCCTGTGTGAGAGCTGACGCCCTTTCTGACTGAATGGGGAGGAAATGGGAAGCCCTGAGCCTTGCCTGCCCCCCATTCCTCACCAAGGATCCATGCACGGTCTCTGCAGACCTACTAGCATTCATATTTTGTGGACTGGGGCTTGTAAATGGAGAATAGGATATACCTATGCTAAAAAGTTAAAGTTAAAATTTAATTTGTGTTCTGTATTTTTATTTGCCAAATGTGGCAACCCTATTTACAAACTACTATTTTAGTAACAAGAGTTCCCAGTTACAAAATAGAGAAGCTTTTCCCACAGCAGTATTTGTAAATATCTTGAATAAGGGAGAACTTCTCCAATTTCAGTTTCCCAACCAATAAAATGAGTATAATGATCCAGGCCCTGATAACTACTTGACTAGCTATTCTAAAAAATAATTAGGCTTTAGCTCAGAGACTCAAGATGTATGAAGTTATCATGGTTATTTGCTTTTTAAACAATTCTACTAAAAAGCACTAACTCCTAATAGCATGTTGGGTCATTTATAAAATGCTTAATAATGAAACAGTCAAAACTCACTCTGTATGCACATGCTTTAGTAGATATTTTAAATAGATTGAATTCCATTTTTAAAATAAATGCCTTAAGTGAAAGAACAGGATATAACAAAAAATTATTGACCATGTACATATTTTCGTATATATCTTAGGCTACTGAGAGTCCCCAGGTAGCACGGTGCTAAAGAACCCACCTGCCAACGCAGGTCTTGTAAGAGACTTGAGTTCGATCCCTGAGTTGGGAAGGTCCCCTGGAAAAGGAAAGGGCAGCCTGCTCCAGTATTCTTGCCTGGGAAATCCCATGAGTGGAGAGTCTGGTGGGCCACAGTTCATGGGGTCGCAAAGAGTTGTCCCTGAGAGCACACACAATGAGAGGCAGTAGCTGGGAATCCACGACAAAACTAGACAGAGGGAAATGTCAGTTGCCTTTAGTGAGTATTTGACTTGTGAGTAGTAAGTCTTTCCTCTGTTAACCCACAACTTCAGGGGGCCCAGCAGAAGACCACTGCATGGAACACCCTGTGACTTACCATCACTGCTGATCTGTGTAGTGGATTCTAAGTTAGAACCTTAAAACCAACTTAGTATTTTTTATATATATATATATATTTTTTTTTTTTTTTTGATGTGGACCACTTTTAAAGTCTTTATTGAGTTTGTCACAATATTGCTCCTGTTTTATGTTTTGGTTTTCTGGCCACAAGGCACATGGGATCCTAGCTCCATAACCGGGATCAAACCTACACCACCTCTGTATTGGAAGGTGAAGTCCCAGCTACTGAACCGCCAGGGAACTGATCCTCCAAAGCTACCTTAGTTTTAATGCCACCTTTAGGACCTATGGGTATCATAAGTAAGACATTGATAAGATATTAATAAGGGAACAGGAGCAAAAGAAGGGAAGAGCATGCCATCAATGCAAACAGAAGGGTAGAGAACGCATAGAATGAGCAAGGCAGGCCCCCGCCGCCAACCCTAGAAGCAGGTCACTCCCGAAGACGCCAGTGGCATGCTTTACGGGAGACCTGCGGCCCCGAGGTCCTGCTGGATTCAGGCTGGAAAGACTGTGAATCTAGCGAGTTTCTAGAGTTTACTCAATAATGCAAACAAAAATAAACCAGTGTCAGTCCACGTGCTTCAAGACTCTCTAGCAGGCGATGGAGCCAGCAATCCCTTGTCACTGTTAATTAAGTACATCCTCCAATGGCCTCGACGCGAGGCTGCTAATCCTCACACCTTCCTTTGGGGTCCCTGGCCAGCTGCTTCAGAGGCCTTAATGAATCTCTGACCAATTCCGGTTGTGGTCAAGTCGCAAAAACAACAGCCAGGGTGTCATAAGATACTCTGTGAGGAATGCATGTTCAGTGTTATTGAATCACCATGGCTGTGGGATGGCTGATATCACAGCTCAAATAAAGGCAGATCTGCAGACAGCCTCTTAGCCTATAAGAAGAGGAAGAGGTCAGGTGTTACGCAGATGGGACACCTCACCTGGTCAGACCATAACAAAGCCATTGCAACCGACAGGAATAGACAACTCTTTTCCTATGACTCCAGTTTAGATCACTTTTTAAAAAAAGAAATCTGATTTTGTGACTAATAATTCTACATGAGTCATGTGTATTTTATGTGGGAGAGACTTGATCTCAATCAAGTCAGGCTCGCTCTATCCAGCTTTGTGCTTGATTTACAGCAAACTCCTGATGGATTTAACTATTTCCAGGATGGTGGGGGCGTTCACCAGTTGTCTTCACTCCCAGCAGGTATCTGTGGAGAAGAAGGTCATTTTAACTAGTCCACAGTTAATCATCCACTCTAGTCACTGCTGAAGAGTAACTCCCAGGTTGTGAGCCCTCTTCAGCTGTTGTGGTTTTTCTGGTTACTTCTGTGCCGTCCACGGGCACAAGAAATCCACTCAAGCCATATGGAGTATAATGGTTAATTAATTTTACATGTCAGCTCTACTGGACCACAGTGCCCAGGTATCTGGTCAAAGGTTATTCCGGATGTTTCTGTGAAGATGTTTTTGGATGAAATTAACACTTGAATAAGTGGACTTTGACTAAAGCAGATTGCCTTCCATGGAGTGGGTGGGTCTGATCTAATCAGCTGAAAGAGTGGATAGAACAAAAGACTGACTTCCTCTGAGCAGAAAGGACTTCTGCCTGCAGATGACCTTTGGACTTACATTACAGCGTTGCCTCTTCCCTGGGTCTCCAGCCTGCCAGACAACTGTGTGAATTTTGGATTCACCTGCCTCCATAACTGCATGGTCTAATCCTTTAAAATAGCTCTCTCTCTTTTTCTCTGTGTGTGTGGGTGTGTGTAGACAGAGTGATTCCCCTGTAGCAGTAACACATTTAATGATATATTCTGACATGTATATGTATATATGTATGTGTGTGTGTGTGTGTGTGTGTGTGTGTGTGTACACACATGCACATATATATAGGATTCCCTATATAAAGATCCTACTTCCCAATGCAGGAAACATGAGAGACAGGTTCAGTCCCTGGGTTGGGAAGATCCCCTGGGGAAAGAAGTAGCAACCCACTCCGATATTCTTGCCTGGAGAAGTCCAAGGACAGAGGAGCCTGGTGCTGCAGTCCATGGGGTTGCAAAGAATCAGATATGACTGAGCGACTAATACTATTTTCACATGTCAATTTTATATTCTTTGAGGAAAAAAGGTTCAAAATTATTCTCTGGCTTTTACCCTTTACCTTTTAATTTTTTAATGGTTTTATTGAGATAGAAATACTATAAATTCACCTGTTTTATGTACACAGTTCAACAAATTTTAGTGTATTTACCAAGTTGTACAGTTCATCTCCAGAATCTAATCTTAGAATGTTTTCATACTCCTAAAAAAAACCTTGTGCCAATTTGCTGTTGTTTAGTTGCTAGGTTGTGTCCAACTCTCTGCGACCCCATGGACTAAATAAAGCACTTCCCTGTCCTTCACTATCTCCCGGAGTTTGCTGAAACTCACGTGCATTGAGTCAGTGATGCTATCTAACCATCTCAATAAATTATATCTCAATAAAACCATCTCAATTTAGAGACACTCATCCCTTCCCTAGCCTGAGGCAACTGAAAATCTACTTTCTGAACATATTTGCTTTGGAGGCATTCTCTATAATTGGAATCATGCAGTGTGTTCTTTTATCTAAACTTCATCTTTTTAAAGGAGCAGAAAATGGAATCACTGTTTTGAATTTTTTGAAATTTAACAAAAGTTGTTTGAGATTATACATGATAATTATTTCCAAAAGATGGTGAGCTCAGTGTTGTTAGAAAAATTTAGTGTGGGTTAAGTCTCTGCTTTACTGACAATTCACTAAATCATTTCATGGCACAAAGAAGATTAAACAGAATTCATAAAAACACACCTTATGGAGTTATGACAGACACCAAACTATCTTTTTCTGGCAGACCAGTCCACAAGTCCTATGTGATAAAGGGAATATAATCTCTGAATGTGAAATAAGAGCAGAAAGAAATAAAAACCGTGTTTGCCCTAAAGTACCCTGGTAATTATTTCCAAACTCATTTCAAATTCAGTCCCTGTAGCTTCTAGGAGAAATGTAGAAATGAGGGACATGGGATTTGCTGTTATGAATAGATATGATAACCTGTTTTCTCTCCAAATATATATATATATATATATATATAGAGAGAGAGAGAGAGAGAGAGAGAGAGAGAGAGAGAGAGAAGAGAGAGAAGGACTCAATACAGATAAGTGTGAATGACTTAACCTTAATTTAAAAGACACTGTTCAAATCATGTGAAGCAATCAGTCATTCCTGTTTTTATGTAATGTACATCTGAAACAAAACACTAAAATTACATGTAACACACTTTCAGGCAGTTTGAATACTTGGAGATACTTGGCCAACTTTCTCGGGAAGCCCTAAGTGTCTTCACAAACATAAACTGTAATTCTTGAAGCTTGCAGAGGATAGCATATTTTTACAAAAAGAAACGTTAAACATGCCGGGCCCTTCTGATGAAATATACCTGCGGTTAGAGCAAACAAACAGTCCACTGAAGTTAGGAGGAAGAGAATCAAGGGCAACACCGTAAGATCTATCATACCATGAGGATGTCACAAACCCAAATGGAAATAGAGACCCATGCGAAGTTAAATGGCGGAAGAATGGCGGGCGATGTCCACCGGTGTGTGCAAGCACTCCGGAGCAGCAGGAGCCTGGAGTGGCCGGATGGGGTCAGGTATCCAGGGTCCCGTAGAGACGACCTCTGTGATGACAGACCGAGATCCCTTCCCTCATTGCTGTGTGCTGGTTAAACACGCCAACGACAGATACACCCAGGGCTCTTTGGTCCATCTGCCCTCGCATTTCATCTCCGCGTTCTCCAGCTCAAACTCAGGGCATTTGTTTCTGACCCATCCGGTCCCAAGTTTTCGTACCCCAACGCCACATTAATTAGGGTGCATACATCAGCGTGTTAACATGATATTTAATGCGTGACGGAATGGTTGGCAGAACTCAGATGTCTAAACTCATGATGGAAGCGTGAGGAAAACAATTTTCTTCTTGCTGCGACACATATGGTTCCACTTTCACGGTCCTGCCGTTCTCCCGGGTTAAAGGCGTCCCACCATACGCCAAGCGCAAAGAGTGATGGGCCTGACCCACCGCTCAAACGGGCTGAAACAAGCCGAATCGTGTGTCCTCGGCCATAAAATGCCATTCAGGTGACCCCGTGGGCTGACATCCGCCCACATCTTGTAGACATTTGGGGCCAAGTTGCCCATTTGTTTCTTTCTGATCTAAACATAAATATTATACGTGAACACATTTACACGTACTGTCTTCTTTCTCTTTTAGAGGCTGGGGAAAGGCCAGATCAGCTGGGGACCAGTTACAGCCTGATTTTTAGCCTGCCTTTGTGATACTTTCAATTTGTCTCGATAAATCATTTGCTTTGCTTCAAAACCATTAAGTCCTTGTAATTGATATGAAAAGAATCGTGCAATATTTTGTCCCTCAAACTGCAAAACAACCCTTTGAAAAGATAAGGTAATCCTTGCAGGTAAACAGGCCTTTCAATCAGTAATTCTGGATTCTGGTTGGTCCCTGATTCTGTTTGATTAGCTCTCTTTACCTTGATAGCTGGGGGCTCCCCTGGTGGTTCAGTGGTAAAGAATCTGCCTGCTAAATCCCATGGACAGAGGAGCCTGGCAGGCTATGGTCCATGGGGTTGCAAAGAGTCGGACACAACTTAGTGACTAAACAGCAACCTAAAGAGACAATATTATTTCACAGGGCAACTGAAATATGGGGAGCAAAGAGGAAATTGTAGGGACAGGAAGTTTCTTGTGTCTTTCTTTCAATAAGTTTGCTTACAAAAAATGAAAAAAAAAAAACCTGTTAGGGTGATGTCACTGGTGTTCTCATTTGTTTATTCAAATATCAGAATTTCTTCATTGACAAATAGCAAGATAATTATACTAAAAATCCAGAGTTCAGACACTCCTGTTCAATGTGATGTGTGGAGTTTTTTACACAAGTGAAATCCTACAGATGAGATTCACAGTTTCTGTACTAAACCTTCATGCTTTCATCTCATTAGCACCCTGTGTTCAAAAAGGAAAATGCAGTATACTAAGTGACACAAAGTAACGACACTGAAAGAAAAAGTGAAATTCGCCAGAAAGGTGTGAGTCCCCTTATTGGGGGAAGTAAATTATGACAAATCTGCCTGTTACCTTCTCTTTGGATAAAATGCAGTTCTAGAGGAAAGGGTGGAAGGGGGCTGATAACGTGTGGTCAAAATACTGTGTTCCAAGCAGCCACTGAGTCAGTCCATTCGTCTGGGGTCCACGTCGCATAGTAACTATCCCGAGTGTAGACTCTGACTGTTCACGTGTGGGTCCCTCTATATCATCACTGAGGAGATCAGGCAGCTCTGTTGAAACTGGTTTACTGTTGTGTGTGTGTTCCAGCTAAACCCTGAACAGCAAGCAGTGGGAGCAACAGAAGCCTGCGGTTGCCATCCCCCCGGCGTGATCGCAGAGCCCCACGGCTTTCTCTTGGCATTGGACTGCGGTCCGTCTCTGCGCTGACCGGCCGGGTCCTGCGTCGTCCGTCTCCCGCCTGCTCCTTGCGGCTCCCTGGACACGCTGTGCCCTCTGCCTGGAATGGCTTGTGGGGTCACCCGCTCAGTCCCTCCAGCCCTGGACTCGGGCGGACTTTCCTTAACCACCGACCACAGTGGCACCCTACTCACCCACTACTCTTAACCTCCTTCGTGTGTTTCTCCTTAAACTTGGCCTTCAGAGCACTTATCATTTCTTGACATTTTATAATATCTTTCTTTTCGTATTTTCTTCCGTCTTCTTTCCCCACTAAGAAGAAAGTGCCATAAAAGAGTTATGCTTTGCTGATACACTTATTAATGTCATATTACAGTAAATGCTGGATTTACCTTAGTTTTAATAATTAAATGTTTTTTCTATGCCTTTCAATAAGTAGTATTTATCTGTTGTAAGATAAAAAAATATGCTATGGTCCAAATATACCTCCTTCTGAAGCATGGCCGGTACGTGTTCTTTTCCTATATTGATACCCTGCCTCTTTACACTTAATGCAGAAGAGGTCTAAACTCTAATGTATTGTGATGAAGATATCTTATTTTTTAAAAACTATAGTTTATTCTTTGATTCGAAAAATGTTTACTAAACATATGTTACATGCCAGGAATTATACTGTTACTTCAATTCATCTTCAAATTGACATTTTAGTGTTAATACTATGATTAACAGCATTTTATGAAGGAAGAAACCAATGAAAAGAGAACTAGGATTTGAGCCCATGTCTCGGGGACTCGAATCCAAACTCTTAGCTTTCATGCATTACTTTTCCCATAGCTTACACTGGGATATGTAATATATAGGGAAAATTTAAAGTGACAAAAATGAGTAAGATTCCGGTAATGGAGAGCAGTATAAGTCATTTTCCACCTTAGAGTTTCTCCAAAGAGAAGCATACAGAGAATTTTAGTTAGGAGACTGTCCTTAAAAAGTTCATTCTGACTGTGAATGGACTGGAGAAGGAGTCAGACCCAAAGACCGGTTTTGTTGATGCAGTGATGTCGGTTACAGATGATTGTAGCGTGGCCGGGGGAATGACGGTGGATACTGGCACCAGCCTAGCACATCTGAGAGCTCTTTAGGTGGTAAAGCGGCCAGGGTCTTGTGAGAGGATGTCAAGATAATGCCTGGGTTCCCAGCCTGAGTGAGAAGAGAGACAGCGTGAGGGACCTGGGTACATGGACAGTGGAGGACAAGGTCAGGTTAGCCTTCTCGAGTCTGAGGGCCTGAACACGTCCATGTGGAGCTGCACCTGTAGGCAGCTGTGTGAATAGGTCAAAAACCCAGGAGGAGACCTGAGATGAAACACTGACTTGTGGGTTCATGTGTTTAGACAGAATCAAAGCATTGGGTGAGGGAATGGATTGAAAAGTAGACTTAGGATCTTTGTGGCTTCAAACACTGGAGGGTTGAGGGGAGGAAAAGAACCCTAGCTCTGAAAGACTGTGTCTTAAAGAATCATCTGCATTGCAGGGGATGCGGGTTTGATCCCTGGGTCGGGAAGATCAGGAAATGGCAACCCACTGCACTATTCCTGCCTGGGAAATCCTATGGACAGAGGAGCCTGGTGGGCTGTCGTCCATGGGGTCGCCAAAGAGTTGGGCATGACTTACCAACTGAACAACCACAATGGTGACGATTTAGCCAAGAGAGGAGGAATTTGGAAGACAGGGGTGGTAGGTCTGACATTATAGGCTGGAGAAAATATAGGCATAGTTGCAGTTTGTTGACAAGCCATGCTGAATTTCTTCCCAGGAAGAAAGTAATGCCACCTTCTTAGAATCATTAAACATGTTTGAGGAGATAGAAAAAGCTGATAAAAAACATAAGGAAAGAAAAGAGACAGTAGCCGAGAAAAGCAGACTGCTCCGCAGCACTGAGACCCTAGATGAGATTGGACATGAAGTCTGTGAGGCTCCCATGCTGACCGTGTGTGTGGTTAATTCCAGCAGCAGTCCTGGTATATATACGTGAAGAATATAGACAGGTGATGTCATCAGAAAGGGGGCATTTCCATGGTGGGTGAATCACAAGGAAAACAGACTCAGGAAGTTGGAGATACTGGTCAGAGGGTCTCAGGTGGGAGTCAGGGTAGAAAGATGCTGATGAGCAGGAACAATGGGAGTGGTGGGAACTGCAGCTGGATTATCCAGTGAAACATGGTTTAATGTGAAAGCATGGATCTGTATTGTTCACTGTGATGGCTGCGAGCCACACAGGGCCACTGAGCACTTGAAACGTGCTCATTTCAAGACTGAGAAAATGGATTGTAGATTCTGTTTATTTTTCAATTAAGTCTGAATAGGTGCACGTTGGAGTGGCTACATACTGGGTCGCTTAAGGCTAGGGGGCCCTGATTAAGACAAGAGCTAGTAGATTAGATTAATTGACGGAGAAGCAGAAAAGTGGGATACTGGGTTCAGGAAGCAATGCCCAACACCATTGTTCCCTGCCCAGCATCTATTCCCCTGCTGTCTTTAAGTCACTTGGCTTTTATGTTGGTGTTTACACTTCCTTCACACAGCCTGTGTATGATACATAGAGCTGATTCGACTGGCTCTACGAGTGCAGATAAATATCTTAGGCCTCTGCTCATCAGTATGTGGTAATCCAACTATGAGCCATGTTTCTAGTCCAGGGTGAACGTGGAACCCAGTTTGCATCAGTGGGAGTGAAGAAGATCTTTTTTGGATGTTTCTGGAAAAGGACTTGCCTTTTCTTCCTAATGGTGTGGCACAGAGTGAAGCCCAGAACTCCACATAATTTGCACCTTGGAGATGCTGCTGAGGAAGGCAGGGGGCGGACGTGGAAAGAACCTGGGTTGGAGAGACCATATTGAGTCACTGGATCCATCTAGCTCTGAAGTCTTTTCTGTTTCATAAGCCAATGAGTCGCCTTTACAGTTCAAACCATCTTCTGTTACCTGCAGTATATAGAGGCCTAACTGATATCAGTGCTGTGCTAGAATTTCCAGTTTCAGACATGGCAAGGGCCCAGGAGTTTGAAGTCCAGATGGTGGTGTGGCGTGTTGGTTGGTGGTAATGTGGCTGGTGCAGCAGGATTGAAGGTCAGGGGAGATGGCAACATCAAGCATGTGAGAGGCCCAGATCTTGACGGCTGTCCTTGGCATCTGTAGTCATCCCAGGACTGGGGGTGAAGCAGGATCTTCAGAGAAGGAGGCACCGGCTGAGATTTCAGTGACCTGAGTAATGAGATAGTGCTGGGTGTTGTTGAAGGACATCCAGCCTTTCCCTTCCACCTTTCCTCTCTCCCTTCCCTAATGTATGTTTTAAAAATGATTTAAGATGGCTTTAAAATAGACATAATGTAGGCATAGAGAAGAAGCATTAAAAAATCATCATGAGGATGGAGGTAAAGGAAATAGGAAGCCTATGGAGATAAGACAGAGCCAGGGAAGGAGCCAATACTCAAAGCACACACAAGAACATGCAGTACATTGGCTGGAGCGAAGCCATCATTCTGCTCTTGGTTTTCTCTTCCTTTATGGTCCAGTCTCTGTATATTTTCTATTTCTGAAGCTTTCACAAGGCCATTTAGCCTCGTTTAGCTAAGGCCGTTTTCACCAGGTTAGCTCTCCTTGAATCCGTCGTTTGTATTAAGTGCCCAAGGTCACAGAACTAGCGATAGACCCCGATTCTGAAGAAAAGGTTCCAAATTTCCAGCCGTGCAGGCTTCCAACTAGACCACGCTGCATCTCAAGCACTGGGTAATTTCACAGTAGACATCCGATTTCCTGGACTGCAGGGCCACAGGAAAACCAAAGAGCTCCTGGGGTGTTTTTGTTCGTGACTCTGAGTCCTGGTGATGGAGGACGGAAAGGCGTCTGACGGGTAGACCAGGCCCCTGGTGGACCATGTCTGGACGGTCTGCCCCGGGCAGGGAAGCGCCGTGTCCCAGCCACTGATCTCCAGGGAGGTCCTGTGGAAGGCAGCGAAGGTTCTCCACGTCAGGACCGAGGTGGTTTGGCAGAAGCATGAGGCAGAAAGTGCCACACGCCAGCCTCTGCCAGACCTGGCCAACTCGTGCCCTTGGTGGCTCGAAAGATAAACAGGCAGCCACATCCTGTCAAGGAGCCTTCTCTCTGCTCACTGCCTCAGTTCACCTCGCGGCCCGGCCCTGCCTGCCGCAAGTGCTGAAATCCTGAGGACGTCCAATCCCCGTTTCATCCAAGGAGTCAGCGTTTGAAGGAGAAAACCATCTCACTGCATCCTGCTTAAAATGTCAGGGATCAAAGCCACTTATGGCAGGGCTTCCCTGGTGCCTCAGACGGTAAAGAATCTGCCTGAACTGTGGGAGACCTGGGTTCGATTCCTGGGTCTGGAAGATCCCCTGGAGAAGGGAATGGCAACCCACTCACTGGCGTGGGTTCTGGAGAATTCTGGCCTGGAGGATCCCGTGGACAGAGGAGCCTGGCGGGCTACAGTCCCTGGGGCCGTGAAGAGTGGGACACGACTGAGCGACTACCGTTTTTACTTTCAAAGCCACCCTTTTCCTTCTCACCCGTCGGGCGTACATTCTTCCCCTCTCCCACGAGGAAGGGTTGCTGGGCCCGGACGGGGTCTTCCGTGTGGGGCCCGAGTCTCTGAAGGGGTGTCCACGGTTGCTCTGAGGGACACAGAGAACAGACCCAGGTGCCTCCCTGTCTCCTCCGGGTCATCTAGGTCCTCTAGCGGGACCCTCGGGTGGAAAGATGGGGATGGTTTTGTGCGGGGGCAATCTCCCGCTTTTCTTCAAACGGCTGTTCTCACACGTCGCTGGAATCCCAGCTCTTTTGTTGAAAGCTGAGGGCTTACCCCACAGATGTGCGCAAACACGTCTACACCACAGCGTCTCACCTGACATTTCGGGGGAGTCCTGAGTCCCTGGAGGAACTGGTGCTTGATTCACTTCTTTGAGGCTGTCGGGGACAGCTTGGGCAGCGTCAAGTAGAAGGCTCTAAGACCAGATTTTGGAAAAGGCCATCGGCCTCCTTGGGGTCCAGAGACGGACGCTCACGCCCCAGCTTCATCACTGCAAGCCGTGTGACTTTGGGCTCTGTGCTCGTCTCCTTCATATAAAGTGAGGATTGTAGCGCCTGCCCTGCCCATCTAGTTCATAGAATGTGAAGGTCAGCTGAGAAACAGACGAGGTCTTCTGTATCATCCAGAAAAGATCGTAAAGAACGAGACGTGGGTGCCAGGAAGCAGGGCCTGAGGGCCTGGGTGTGCAGGCCGTCTCTGGGGTGCGTGCCCTGCCCGCGTGCTGTCCGCGCTCCTCGGCGCCGGGCTGTGAGCGTCTGCTCCTGCTTGTAACTGGGTGAGTCTCCTGTGTCTGCGCTCTGACCCCGCTTTGCTGGCTTCTCCCACCCCTCCTGTGTGCCCAGAGCCTGTTGCTAGAGATGTGCCCTACGGGACCCCTGGGAGGTGATGATCAGAAATGTTTTTCAATGCTTAGTGAGTTAGTTCGATATTAACAATCGATGGTTTATAAAGGGGCTTCCCTGGTGGCTCGGATGGTAAAGAATCTGCCTGCAATGCGGGAGACCTGGGTTTGATCCCTGGGTCAGGAAGATCTCCTGGAGAAGGGAATGGCAACCCAGTCCAGTGTTCTTGCCTTGAGAACTCCTTGGACAGAGGAGGCTGGCGGGCTAAAATCCATGGGGAGATAAAGAGTCGGACATGCCTGAGCAGCTAACACTTTCACTTCATTTCAGGACCATATTACAAAGGTGGGGGCATGTGTGGTTACTTCATATATATCTTTTTTAAAGTCACATATAAGTATGACATAATTCTTAGTATTAGATAGGAAAGGTGAGGCTTTGCATCCGCATCTGTGATGATGCATCCTTTGGTGCCTCGCCGAGTCTGTGTGACAGATGAACTCAGCAGAGCCGCTGGGCTTCACTGGGGAAGAGAGGCCAGCCTGATGGAGGGAACGGAGGCAGGCAGAGACGCTCGGCCATCAGAGAGGCAGCGCTGGGATCCCTGCAGGTCGATGGGACGAGGCCCTCCCACACCCATGACGCCTGCTGCCCCTGGGGCGTCAGTGACCTAGTGATCCAAGAGGCGGGGCTGACCAGGGACAGAAAGGATCTGGGTTAGCTCGGCTAGACAGGGCGGGGTCTCCTCCAATTAAGGCGAGGATGCTCTGGCAAACTGTGTTCTTTCATTTTATTTTTGCCGCGAGGGGAAATAGCTTGCTTTCACCTATGACCAAATCCACAACCTTGGGAAGGGACCGGACGAGCAGCCAGACTGTTTGCAGGCCCCACTTCAGTGTCCTGGGCTCACTTATTGTTTCTGTCCTACCAGTGAAGAGCTGAGGCCAAGGGGGAGGGAAGGGGTTCAAACAGGAGCACGGAAGGTGCTCCTCACAGTTTCACCTCGTCAGAGCTCCCTGGACCTCCCGGATCCGGGCCCTGGAGCACCCCGTGGGCTGCAGGTCCTCGTCTGCAGTGAACCAAGGGACACGTCTCCACGGCTGGGCCCTGCGGTCATTTCCCCCCATCAACCGCTGTAGGAATTTTATTAAATCTTTATTACATCTCTGCAGTCTTTACTGCCCAATCCAAGTTTTGAGAGCAGAATGTTGTTGTTGTTTTCCCATGCAAGAGGGAGGGAAGAAAAGTACCTTATGCAGTAAAAGTGAAGAAACCCGAGGAGCCCCACTTAAGGGTTCTCCTCTTTTCCTCTGGAGCCCCCATCTCTTCCTTCATGGGCAGGAGTAATGCCGTGACGATGGGGCCAGCGATATTTAAAAACATTTTAAAGTTACCAGCGAAAGGGGAAAATGGTACATTTGCACTCGTCTTTCTCCACTTAATGGCATTACCAGCGATGCCGTGTCCCCCTTGGGCCATAAATTGAGACATCACTCAACAGTTGTCCTGGCAAATTTCCCCCAAAAAGGCCACTTATGAAGTGACTAATCACATTGGAGGCTAATTTACTGAACATT